GCTATCACTCTGTCATAGTTGGTAGGCGGCATTCCAGCCTCGGATGGTGGACTTGTTACACTCTCCGACAGTCGCAGGTCCACGGTCTGAGGCTGGAAACCATCATGGCGCCAGACCGGGAAGGTCCTACGAGGCCGCCTTGGCAGCACAGGACAGCAAAGTTGCGAAAATGAGGTGAGACTTAGCTCGAAATAATGGCAACACCATCTTTGTCGTCCGAGCAACAAGGTTATGTTAAATGCAAGGTGCCCTCAAATGATTGTGGGAAAATTCAGCAAAATCGAATGAACACATCTCCAACAGATGATCTATTGGTAATTTCGAAAGGCTACTTATAAACGAGAAAAAGCGATGAAACTGATTACTGTAGCAAATATAATTTTGCTTCTTCGACAATTGTACCATGCATTGGGATATGGCGAAATGGCCGGCCTTCCTGCGAATTCACACCTGCCCTGTGACCGAATGGCATTCGTGGCAACGTGACAAGATTACACGCAGCACTTTCATTGTTCGAGTCCCGCCTAGGGGGGAGACGGGGTTCGCCGAGGCCAAAAATGCATTCGAGTCCTTCCTGGATGAGAATAGCTTTTGGGGAACAAGGTTGTGTGACCTGCGATGGAAATGTGCAGTCCGCTCATGTGATGGTGGGACAATTCCACCGTCAGTCAGTCGCGTCATCATCTCAAACGTGAATGAGGAAAAATACAACTCGGCTTCGACGGCGATGCCATCGGAGAATGGCTTTTGTGCAGTCGGGCCGAGTGGAAAGCAGCGGAAGCGTGAAGCCCGCTTGTGTGAGATTGTGGGCAACTTGATCGGCTCTTGGACAGGCTTAAGTGAGGAGAGTGTAGAAGAAAAGAGAGGAGTCGCAGCGACCGAGCACTCACATCCGGCGCATTGGATGAACTCCTTGCCCGAGCCCGGAAAGACCTGCAGCGTCACGATCCTCTGCTGCCCTGCGGAGACGGAAGCGGAGGTGGAGGCGGAGGTGGAGGTGGAGACGGAAGCGGAGGCTTCGCGAAGCAAACCGGGTCTGGCCGGAGCGGGAAGGTCCGGGCTCGAGGCGCCGACGAGGCCGGGCAGCATCGCACGCCACGGAAACTGATGCTGATGACGGCCGGCCGCGAGACGCGCCTGCTCGGGCCCCGTGAAGAGCACCAATGCGGTGTTCGAGCGTCGGCCGTCGGCCAAGCGGATCGCCACTCCGCCGGGACTCACTTCGAGGCCGGCGAAGAAGTGGCTCGCCAGCGTCGACGGCGTCGCCGTCCAGGGCACTTGACGAACCTCGATTACGCGGTCGTCCTGACAACCGATGCCCTCGTCGAACAGGCGATTGCGTGGCCTGCAAAATTGACAATCAACAGATGGACACATAATTTCACGCAAATTCGCACAAGCAGTACGTGAGCTCGAGTCCCGGTCTGGCCATGACACCGAGCAGAGGCACCGACACGGCACACGGACAGCCGGTACCGCCGGTGCCATGCCGCTGTCTGAGTCCCGCTGCTAAGACTGGCGTTGCCTACTTGACGAGTGGGCCCGGTATCTCCGGAACTGGCCGATAAGCCAAACCGCACACACAACTTCGGGCAATTTCGTGACTTTGCAGCGAATTATCCCATCCGCTTTGGGACCAGTTCTATTGAGAACAGCCCAAGCGTGACAGATAGGTCCAACCAAGTTAAAGTAAAAGGGGACACATTTGTGAACACAATCGAGATCAGCCGATTTGGCAAATTTATTTGTTTAATGGTATTCTATTTTATGGGAATATTCAGTCA